TTTGTATTTTTAGTAGAGATGGGGTTTCACCGTCTTAGCCAGAATGGTCTCCATCTCCTGACCTCGTGATCCGCCTGTCTCAGCCTCCCAAAGTGCTGGGATTACAGGCATGAGCCACCGTGCCCAGCCTTTTCATTGTAATTTTTGTAAGATCAACTATTTTGTTCTCGTACTAGAAAAAAAGACTGGAAAACAGAGAGACTTTGGTAAGATAGAAGTTTAATGTTCCACTAACTTAAAGAGATTGGAATGAGGTGATCCCATTATTGAGTGGTTTAGGGTCACACGTCCCTAGTGAGTTGCATCCTTTTCTGAAGTCACTTTGTGGTCCAGAAAGGCTGCCTGAACTCTCTCTGTCATGATCAAATTCTGGGAAGCAAGAGAAAGGGGGGAAGTGGAAAAAAAAATGCCCAAGCTGGCTATTTATCCCCCTTTAGAGATGCCTTCTCTAGAATCTTCACAGCAAATTTCTGCTTGCGTTCTTTGGCAAGAAATTCCATCACATGACCATGGCTTGCAGTGAGGGAGTCTGGAAAAGACAATATTTTAGGAGATTAAACTGCCACCTTCAATACAACTAGTGTTCTGCTAATGAAGAAGAATGCAAAGAGTGGGTCCTGGGTGAGCAACTAGAAGCTTCTGTCTCATTCATTACAAATATGATATACGATTGAAAAAAAAAAAAAAAGCATTAAACCAGTAACAGAAGTCTATAAAAGATTGGAAGGGAAAATTTCCTATGGCAGAGAGAACACTACATGTTTGTCAACCTCTGTCTCATTTTTCTCCTGGAGTCACCGGGAGATTACCTTCCCCAGCCTCTATGCCTGTTAGGGCTCCATGCCTAAATTCTGGTTAGTGGACTGTTAACTAGCAGTGATGTTTGCCAGACCTGACCACTAAAACCTTCCATATGGCTCTCCATCTTCCCTCTTGTTTAGGCTGTTAGCTAGATGTAAAGAATGCAATGAAGGTCTTTAGGACCTAAGTAGATGGTAGAACCACAGGATGGAAGAAGACTGGATCTCTTAATGACTGCTTAGAACAGAGAAACTTGCCCCTATTTGGCCCCGTGATGCCTTACATTGAACCTTGACATCAGCAAAATAAACTTTTGGGGGATTGAACCTCTGAGATTTAAGGGTTGTTTATAGCACAAAGCATTATATACTCTTAATTATTAGAGTCCCCAGTAATACACCAGCCTAGAGATGGCTTTCATTGATTTATTGATATTTTTATTTTAATATTGATGCTTATATAAAGGTAAATGTTAAAATTGTAATTATATATATATGAGTAATACTACATATTATATGATACAGAGGCCAAATAAAATGCTTTATTCCCCAAATTATCACTAGTGATAATTAAAATTGACTTTCTGAGTTAAATCAGAAATCTATACTTAAATTTCACATAGAATTTTGATGAATAGAATGCGCAAAATATATTTCAGACCTGTAAATAAAAACGTAAATCTAAAAAAATTAATTCCCCTCACATTGAATCACCCAAGTAAAAACAACAAAACTTAAGAAACAGAATTGTCGATTATTGATGAGGACATATGAAATGAGTGCTTTCCTGGTAAGCCAATGATTTTAACATCTAGCAAGAAATAATCACATATGTGAAGAGATCTCTGAAACTTTCCTGAAGAGTTTAAGAGAATAACTGAATAAAAGTAAAGACATACCATGTCCTGGAAACAGAAAGATAAAAAAAAGAATTATAAAGAGATAAAGTCTCCCTCAAATAATGTACAGTTTTTGTGTAATCCAAATCAATATCCTTAGCGGTCCATTTTAATGGAGCTTGACCGACTGGATTTAAAATTCACCTATGAGGTTAAGATGCCAGAGATGGCAAGAAAAAAATATGTAAGGAATATTAGTACTTGGGTTTTGATTATATGATAAAGTGATTTGCTGCCTCTTTTCTTCAAGAAATCACACACCCTAAGGGTTTGAATAGAAATTAAGCACACTTGTTGACATTTCACTCAAAAGTTTTTTAAAAAGGAACATTCCTGCAGTTCAACACTTCAGCGGTTTCTCTTGGCAATTCCCCCTCCCCTGATTCAGGGAGGGGCTTTCTGTTCTTCATAGAGCCAGGGGGCGGACCCTTCTCTGAGCCTCTAGGAAAGGAGCTGTGCCTGGCCAGTCTTGGGGGAGGAGCTGCATTTCACCAGACTGCAGCTGACAAGAAGCTTCAAGGTAATGGCTGTCTTAAAGCTATTTATTTTCTAGTGACTTCTCAGGATCTTAGAGTAAAGATGAGAAAAATAGGAGTGGCAGTCTTGCATTGGTGGGAAAGGTGTGTGGTTTTGAGAAGTGCTGGCATTTTCAAGGAGTTAATCCTCTGGAATTTTTGTATCTTCCAATGCTTTACAAGTCCACAGTGGGAGAAGGGGTGATCAGATTACAGCCTCTAAATTAAGGCTTCAGTGCAGCATGACTTTTCCTGCTAATTTATTGAGTTGGCATTCCCTGTTTATATTGTTAGACACTCCGTTATTGTTTGAATGTTTAGGCATTTATTAATTTGCACAGAAAAATAACTTAGAAGTATTTGACAACATGGGGGGAAATACACCTATAAGTTGATTGATACATAAAAAGTCTGTATGTGTCACATGTTCATGAGCATAGAAAAGGGATCAAATATGTAGTTGAGTGAAGATACTTTCACATAATATATGCATGTATATATGTGATTTTTAAAATCTGGAAGAAAATAATCTCTCATGTTAACAGCATTTCTGTGTGACCAGGTCACCATTGCAATATTATTTTTTAATCTATTTCAGCATCTTTAGAGTAGATTACTCAGTGATTATTTTTATAATCATGAAAGAAAAATGAAGCTGAAGCAGCATACCCATTTTGTTTCAAGTACATAAACACACATAGACACACAAAGACATGCTCCCATATCCCCCCATCTTCTGCCAATAGTGGAAATTTTCCAGGACCTGATCAAGTGGGTAGTGTAGTTGCCGTGTCAACTACAGTCCTGCATGTGTCCTCCCTGCAGTTTATTCTTTCAGATCACAGATACCAGCGTGGTCAGGAAGAGCCATTTTTCTGTATCATCTAAGTTTAAGAGTGAGAAACAGAGGATTTGGTTTATTTCTATACACAGTTTTCAAAATATGTGGCATGGTACATCTATACAATGAAATACTATGCATTTGGCAAATGTCTGAGAAACAGTATAAGGTGAAAAAAATTATATAATAGCACATACTATATGTTCTCACTTAAGAAAAAATATGTATGTTAGTATACCTATGTATGTTACTACAACCAAATCAGGAAAAACATATCTATGAAAGTTTTAACAGGATTACTTGTATAGTTGTAGAGACAGGGCTGGCCCTGTCTCTTATACACATCTAGATGTGTATAAGATGGCTTTACCATTTTCTACTCTTTAAAATTATTTATATATATTTATTTGGGGTTTGTTAAATCTTCAGGGAAATATTGAGATAAAATGCTACAGGTTTGGGGGAAAACCTCATTTAAAGTAATTTATATCAAATTATGTGGAAAATCTTGAGGTGAAAGATGTTCAAGCTATGCTCTTGAGTGGGATCTGAGGCTGGTTTCAAATTTTCAAATGAGATACATTTATCTTTATATGTAAAAATGTTCTAGAAATACATATAGAAAATATTCCTAACAGTTATTTGTCTAGGGTTGTACTTTATTTTGCATATATCTTTCTGCATCTTCTCAATTTTTAATAAGCTTCTGGATGTTTTCATAATCAGAAACACTGTAGTTGAAGACATTATGATCTGGTTAGAATCCCACACAACAAAACCTTAAATTTAATGTAGAAAATTCTAGAAGCCTGGGAAGACTCCTGGCTAACTGGATGTAGTCCTTATGGAATAAGAATGGAAACTACATCTGATAGTGAGTGAAGTTCCCTTCAACTCATGAGTAATTCTGGTTGTCATCATAAGAGGGCACTTGACAGATTTTCTAAATTTTCTCCAGCCAACCATTTTTATGAAGTAGACAAACAAAGCAATGAATCTATTTTGTATTAGTAAACTATGAGACAGCATGTAATTGCAATTCCACTGAAAAAAAACTGTATGTGTAAAGAAGAAAACTTCCACATGATAACTGATGTGAGTATTCAAACAAAATCTACATGCTGACTCATACCACTCCACCATACTTTTCTTCAGAGATGATTTCAACATAAACTAAATAGCATAAATTTATCCCAGAGAGCATTTCAAATCATAAAAATCAGAAGGAAAATAAACATGGCATCTACATCACAGATGAAATTTTGCCTCATTCCTATGTTTTAGAATTACATACCTGTTAGAGTTTAGGTAGGGAAAATTCTTGACACCTTTCCCATTTCGTTGGTTTTATTCCCTGCCTTCCTTTTGAACAGCATAGGTTAATATCAGAGATGCACATGACCTGGGCAATCTGCATGTGATACCAGCCAAGCCCCAGGAAGACAGTACAGCCACAGAAGTGCTGAGTCTGGTGAAGGCCCTTCTGGACAAGCAGTTGGAGTGAGAATCAAGACAACTGGACCACAGGACCAGACCCACCAGGATCCACGTGACAGTGGGTAAGACTCTTCCAATGTCACAAAACATTTCACGGTAGAAACATGTTGAGAACTTGGAGAATAATGTATTTTGCCTCCTGCTCTACAGCCATCCTAGCATTTTAAATTAAAAGTCATATTTCCTGTTAGAATCATGTTAGGTTGATAATTTGGGGTACAATTCATTTTGCTCCCTGTTCTGCATCCATGACACTTTATAATTAAAAGTCATAACTTCTAGTTTGGAGAAGAATCTTACTTTTTAAACCTTTATGAAGAAATCACCCAAGAGGCTATTCAGGTGTCTTCCTGAGGTTCAGACCAGTGGCCTGACTCTCCAATCCTTTGTAATGATCCTATCCAACAAGTTGTCATAGCAGTAATTCTGACTCTCTGCCTTCTAAAATTATGCTTTTAGAAGAGTCATTGTATTTTTGTCTGGGTCCAGGAGATACAGACCCTGTTGTCTTTGTCTGCCTGCTCTGGGTGAACAGTGGAGCACTTGCACCTTAAAAAACATAAAGCTGTGTTTTCAACTAGAACACTGCTCCTCAAAGAGTTATTTTTAAACATGTAGCATTAGAAGCACTTAAGAACTTTTTAGAAATACAAACTTTTGAGCACAAGCCAAACCTTCTGAATAAAACTCTCACGATGGGGCCTAGAAATATAAGTCCTCCAGATGATTCTGACACATGTTAAGTTTGGAGACCCACTGCTATAGGTATGACATTAGGGACACAAAAGTACCAAAGTATGTACTTACATAAATAGAGTTCCTGACATCCCATCACAAGCTCTCCCACCTCTCCTTCCATGTACATGCATTCCCTTCTTAGTAAGCATGTTCAATAATGAGGGCAAATTCTTGAATTTGAGGTATTATAAAACAACTTTTCTGGTTTTTGCCCACCCCCGCCCCTGCAATCTTATATTATGCTGCCTCCTCTGTCTCATGCCCCACTGAGCATTGTTTTTTAATCTACTCTCCACTTGTAATTACTCACCTCCTGTTTTGCCAAAATAATTGTATTTGCTGATACTTTTCTTCTTTTCCTTTTCCCTATTTCAGTATCTTCTGGTATTGTCCCATTCAAACAACGTTTTCAAGCTTCCTTGGAAAATTGAGGTGGAGAACAGGCCACACAAACTGTAAACCCTTTGTAGTCATAAGACGAAAGAGGCTTTGTTAAGAGTATTGTTTTGGGTAGAACTTGCATTAGCAGTTACAAAGACAGCCACCTCAACTTTGGTAATAACCCTTGGCACACAAATATAAAACATAATGGAGTCTGAGTATGTCCTATGCCACTGGAAAGACCAGTTATGGCCAGCAAAAGTTTTGTCCAGATCTGAAACTTCATCAAACAGTAAGAGGAAAATGGGATTTTCTCTAGAAGTTCAAATACTCTCACTAGATGAAAAAATTAAAATGGACAGCACAGAAACAGAAATCCTAAATAAATCTCAAATTGAAGCCATTGCTGCCTCATTAGGACTACAGTCAGAGGACAGTGCTCTGCCTACAGAGGAAACTGCCTATGGAAGATCACTAAAAGTGGCACTGGATATTCTGAATGAGAGAACAAATTTGAGTCAAGCAAGCACTTCAGATGAAGAGGAGATCACTATGCTGTCTCAAAATGTACCACAAAAACAGTCTGATTCGCCCCCTCATAAAAAATACCGGAAGGATGAAGCCGACTTACCAGAGTGTCTTCAGGAAAGTGAAAACTCAGCATGCTTATTAGCATCTTCAGAGAGTGATGATTCCCTGTATGATGATAAATCACAAGTGCACACAATGGCCAATACTATTCCAAGTGAAGTGGAAACAAAGTCATTACAAAACTCTAGCTGGTGCGAGACTTTCCATCCACTTTCAGAAGATAATGATGAAAAAGAGAACAAGAATAAGATTGATATCTCAGCAGTTATGTCTGTGCATTCTGCAGTAAAAGAGGAAAGTGCATATGTTAAAGATGAAAAGTTTGCTCCACCCTTGTCATCAGATATCCTCACTATGCCCAAAACTTTGAAAGAAGAGAGCCAGGATACATGCCCAGAGACCCTGGCTGTTCCTTCTGAATGCTCTGCTTTCTCAGAGAATATTGAAGATCCTGGAGAGGGTCCCTCAAATCCATGCTTAGATACCAGTCAGAATCAACCTTCTGTGGAATCAGAGATGGAGGCTGCAGCATGCCCTGGGAGTTGTTCAAGGGAATGCCAGGTTTCATTTAGTGCCTCTAACCCTGTCTGGGATTATTCACGTCTTATGAATAGTGAAAGAAATTTTCAGAGACTGGATTTTGAAGAACTTGAGGAAGACGGTCAAGCCTCTGACAAGTCATTGCTTCCAAGTCGCATTAATCTTTCTCTATTAGATGATGATGAGGAAGACGAAGAACTTCCACGCTTCATTTTACATTATGAGACACGTCCATTTGAAACAGGAATGATAGTCTGGTTTAAATATCAGAAATACCCATTTTGGCCAGCAGTGATAAAAAGTATCAGACGAAAAGAGAGGAAAGCAAGTGTGCTTTTTATTGAGGCAAACATGAATTCTGAAAAGAAGGGCATTAGAGTAAATTTTAGAAGATTAAAGAAATTTGATTGTAAAGAGAAACAAATGCTAGTGGACAAAGCCAGGGAGGATTATAGTGAGAGTATTGACTGGTGCATCTCACTAATTTGTGACTACAGAGTTAGAATAGGTTGTGGTTCTTTCACAGGCTCTTTGCTTGAATATTATGCTGCTGATATTAGTTACCCAGTTAGGAAAGAAATAAAACAGGATACTTTCAGGAACAAATTTCCAAAGCTGCATAATGAAGATGCCAGGGAACCAATGGCTGTGACTTCCCAGACCAAGAAAATGTCCTTCCAAAAAATTCTCCCTGACCGGATGAAGGCTGCTCGGGACCGAGCCAACAAGAACCTGGTGGACTTCATTGTGAATGCGAAGGGAGCAGAGAACCATCTTCTGGCCATTGTAAATGGCACTAAAGGATCCAGATGGCTGAAATCATTTTTGAATGCAAATAGGTTCACACCCTGTATTGAAACATACTTTGAGGATGAAGATCAGTTGGATGAAGTGGTGAAATATTTACAAGAAGTCTACAATCAAATAGATAAAATAATGCCAACTTGGATAAAAGATGACAAAATTAAATTTATCCTAGAAGTTCTTCTGCCAGAAGCAATTATTTGTTCAATTTCTGCTGTTGATGGGTTAGATTACGAGGCAGCTGAAGCAAAGTATCTAAAAGGACCATGTCTAGGCTACAGGGAAAGAGAATTATTTGATGCAAAAATAATATATGAAAAGAGACGAAAACCACCAACAAATGAAGCTCACTAAATGTGCTGAAAGTTGAAACCATGGCAGGGAGCTCTCATAGATACTAGTTGAAAAAAATCTCGGAACAATTCTCTCTTAATACATATTTTCTGCAAATGGGAGAATGGATAATGTGTTCACTTCTTTTTTGAGATATCTAGGATCTGTGGTTATAATTACATCTTTATTTCCTTTTCTTGTGCTTCTTCAAAGTTAATTTTGTCAACATATTTCAGCAGTTCTACTTTCCCATACATTTTTAGAAAGCATAATTCCTAAATGATTTAGAAGGGAAAGTACCATTTTGTTTTATGACACTTTAGAATCTATGCTGTATTGTTAAATATATTGTGCACAATTATTTTAATATTAAAATTGCACTGGTGTTAGATATTAACCAAGATGATTGGAAAAAAGTCTAAAAGATACATCATTTCTATATTCCTTGCTTAATTTTTATAAAATATTGGGTTTTCCCTCACACAGTTGAATTATTTTTCTTGCCATGCCTATTTATTTTTGCAAAAAAATTATCTGATGTATAGAACCAAAGATAGATTTGCTTTGCTATATATTATAACTACACTTGCTTTTGCAATAAAACAACTTGTAATTCAAAAATGAAGATTATCTGCATGTAGTATTTATGTGTGTGAATAACATCTTGGCATGCAGAAAATAATTTTGGCTGCTTTTAACAGAATTGTTCATTCTACACTTCCCTGAAATTCTATTTTTGGGAGTGTCTGTCCTTCAATGGCTGAATAGTTCCTTAAATCAGTCAAGCTCCTGGCTATCTTCATAACTAACAGTGAGTGGGTCTTCTTAATATAGGTGTCTGACCACATGTGGAAGGCAGCTAGACTTATTGTATTTACAGCCTGGCCACTCTAGACATATGAATCCAGGCTGACTGCTTAAGTGCCCATCTTGTTTGATATAAACTGTAGAAAAGGCAAGCACTTTGTTCTGAGTCTTTTATCTCCAAATACATAGTTGTCTCAAACCAAGCAAGCTTTATCAAAATGGCTTATTTGTAGAATAGTTTCAATGATATAAATGCCAACTGGCAAGTCATTCCAAACTGCTTGAAGGAGTAGATGGACCAGAATCTGAGAATTTGGAAATAGGTCACAGAAAAAGCCTCCATTTGGCTAAATATGACAATTGTCTGAGTATGGTTAAATATACACAATTAAAAGTCTGAAGCCAACGAGTTGTTTATTCTAACTTGAAATATATTTTTGTGAGAAAAAATGTTAGAAAAGTTAGTTTATTTAAAAAACTTGCTGTGAAAGGAAATTCTAAGGGCTTAACATGAAGCTGTCTGCATTTTTACCTGTTAGACAATGGTCGCCCTTGGGCTCTTGTTATACATTCACATGGCTACGCGTTTATGTAAAGTTTGCAAAAATTTGGTGTTTTGATTTACAATAAAACTATTATATTATTCACCTTGGATTTTTACATCATCCTACTTGAAACCGTGCAGCTACATAAGTGGTGTTTCTCCAAATTTAACACACACACACACACACACAAAATATATATATATATATGATTTGTTTGGAATTTTTGGTTCTTGTAGTTGCCATCATCTTAACACTTGCTATAAGTTGTCATTCTAAATAAGTATTCCCTTTCATGTTGATTTTGTATTACTTTAATAGAAAGCCTACTGAATTTTATAAGCCGCATGTCCCACAAAACCTCTCTGGACCCTGACTAAAAAAGACCAAGACTTCTTAGACATACAGCCTCTATCAATCCACATACCTTCCTCATTGCCCTAAGAAGTAATTTACAACAAACCATCATCACACTGTATGTGGATTTTATACCCTGGATAAAACACACTTATTTGCTCTATAATTGTATTAGTCCATTTTCACACTGCTGATAAAGATACACCAGAGACTGGGCATTTTACAAAAGAAAGAGGTTTAATGGACTTACAGTTGCACATGGCTGGGTGGGGGCCTCACAATCATGGCAGAAAGCAAGGAGGAGTAAATCACATCTTACATGGATGGCAGCAGGCAAAGAGACAGAGAATTCATGCAGGGGAGTTCCTCTTTATAAAACAATCAGAATTCATGAGACTTATTCACTATCATAAGAACAGCATGGGAAAGACATCCCCCCATGATTCAATTATTTCCCATTGGGTCCCTCCCATAAAACATGGGAATTCAAGATGAGATTTGTGTTGGGACAAAGCCAATCCATATCATTCCACCCCTGGCCCATCCCAAATCTCATGTCCTCACATTGCAAAACCAATCATGCCTTCCCAACAGTCCTCCAAAGTCTTAACTCATTTCAGCATTAACTCAGAAGTCCACAGTCCAATGTCTCATCTGAGACAAAGCAAGTTCCTTCTGTGTACGAGCCTGTAAAATCAAAAGCAAGTTAGTTACTTCCTAGATACAATGTGGGTATAGGCATTGAGTAAATACAGCCATCCCAAATGGGAGAATTTGGCCAAAACAAAGGGGCTATGAGCCCCATGCAAGTCTGAAATCCAGCAGGGCAGTCAAATCCTAAGTCTCCAAAATGATCTCCTCTGACTCCATGCCTCATACCCAGGTCATGCTGATGCAAGAGGTTTGTTCCCATGGTCTTGGGCAGCTTCACTCTTGCAGCTTTGCAGGGTATAACCTCCCTCCTGGCTGTTTTTATGGGCTGGCATTGAGTGTCTGCGGCTTTTCGAGGTGCACGGTGCAAGCTGTTGGTGGATCTACCATTCTGGGGTCTGGAGTACGGTGGCCCTCTTCTCACAGCTCTATTAGGTGGTGCCCCAGTAGGGACTCTGTGTTGGGGCTTCAACCCCACATTTCCCTTCTGCACTGTCCTAGCAGAAGTTCTCCATGAGAGCCCCACACCTGCAGCAAACTTCTGCCTGGGCATTCAGGCATTTCCATACATCCTCTGAAACCTAGGCAATGGGTCCCAAACCCCAATTCTTGACTTCTGTGCACTGGCAGGCCCAACACCACATGGAAGCTGCCAAGGCTTGAGGTTTGCACCCTCTGAAGCCATGGCCCGAGTGCTACATTGACCCCTTGCAGCAATAGCTGGAGTGGCTGGCACACAGGGCACCAGCACTGCACACTGCACAGGGATCCTGGGCTGCACACAGCATGGAGATCCTGAGCCTGACCCCTGAAACCACTTTTTTCTCCTAAGCCTTTGAGCCTGTGATGGGAGGGGCTGCTGTGAAGACCTCCGACATGTCCTGGAGACATTGTCCCCATTGTCTTGGGGATTAACATTCTGCTCCTCATTACTTATGCAAATTTCTGCAGCTGGCTTGGATTTCTCCTCAGAAAATGGAGGGTTTTTTTTCTATCACATTGGCTGCAAATTTTATGAACTTTTATGCTCTGCTTCCCTTATAAAACTGAATGCCTTCAATAGCACCCAAGTCACCTCTTGAATGCTTTGCTGGTTAGAAATTTCTTCCACCAGATACCCTAAAGCATCCCTCTTAAGTTCAAGGTTCCACGAATCTCTGGGCCTGGAGCAAATTGCCACCAGTCTCTTTGCTAAAACATAACAAGAGTCACCTTTGCTCCATTTCCAAACAAGTTTCTTATCTCCATCTGAGACCACAGCCTGAATTTCATTGTTCATATCATTATCATCATTTTGGTCAAAACCACTCAACAAGTCTAGGGAGTTTCAAATTTTTCCACATTTTCCTGTCTTCTTATGAGCCCTCCAAACTGTTCCAACATCTGCGTGTTACCCAGTTCCAAAGTTGCTTCCACATTTTCAGGTATCTACAGCACACCCCACTCTACTGGTGCCAATTTACTGTATTAGTCGGTTTTCACAATGCTGATAAAGACATCCCAGAGACTGGGCAATTTACAAAAGAAAGAGATTTAATGGACTTCCCATTCCACATGGCTGTGGGAGACCTCACAATCATGGCAGAAGGCAAAGAGGAGCAAGTCACATCTTACATGGATGGCATCAGGCAAAGAGAGAACTCGTGTGGGGGAGTTCCTCTTTATAAAATGATCAGATCTCATGAGACTGCACTATCACAAGAACAACATGGAAAAGACTTCCCCCCATGATTCAGTTATCTCCCACTGGGTCCCTCCCACAACACATGGGAATTAAAAATGAGATTTGGGTGGGGACACAGCCAAACCATATCAATAATGTTGTGTCCCTCTGATTTCAATATAATACCCACCTTTAGTTCTCTCAGTGGAGCTATCTCTGTCTCCTGGTTCTAATATTTGTGTTATTACCTCATTCATTCATTCATAGCATTGTGAGTCAAGAGAGCAAGTGATATGTGGCTAAAGCTCCACTTCAAGGGTAGATTTCAGGTGCCATAGAAAGGAAATATTACTTCTGTGACCCAGATGAAAATCTAATTTCTAAGATGAGTAGGATGCACTACATCATCATAGTGAGAAATTTTGATTAACTTTGTGCACAGACTGCCTGTACTTGAAAACCAGAGCCCAAGTTTCCTCATATTTGTGAGTTCCCAAGTGTCTGTTTTGTTTGTGGTAAAGATTGGACACCTGATCCCTCTTAAGATGTCATTTATTTTGGGGCATATTGAAGTTAAGGGAGGAATGCCTCAAACATGCATCCATTCTCCTCTTTGAATGAATCACTGAATGGCATTTGAGATGTGAAAATGGATGAATTTGGCTTCCAACACACTGTGGACTCAGATCCCTATCAGCCTGAGTAGCTGTTAAGGCAACTCTAAGATTGCCCTAAGCTGGATCTCTAATGTAGGTTTGTGTGTCTGATTGGAGAGCCTGACTTCTTATCCACCCTAACCCACTGGGTTAAGGAAACCCTCATCTTTTCTAGTCATAAGGCAGACTGCTGAATATCAGGCCCAGCTTCTAATCTGGCCCAGGTCTACAGAGCTGCAAGAACACCACATACATAATGCTTACAGATTTAGATAGATCGATCGATATATAGATGATAGACAGATAGATAGATAGATAGATAGATAGATAGATAGATAGATAGATAGATACATAGATACATAGAAACATAGAAATAGAGATATCCTGATAAGGAAAGAATAAAACCATGAATCTGGTAATAGCCGAGTGTAAGAATCAATCCCCTCAACCCACAGCCTAGCAGAAGCAGCCCCCTTAAACCCATGCTATTGGAGAGCAGCCTCCCTGTTCCTGGAGACAAGCCAATAACTTCATCTAAGACACCTACCTCAAAAGAAATAGCTTGTGTTAATATCCAGCACTGATATTTTTAATTGCTTCCAACCCATGACAAAAGTAACATGTTACACAGCACAAGGAGCAAAATATAATCTCTAAACAGGTGGAAAACACCTTATATTTAGAAGGAAATACAGGAACTGGCTAATATGCATTAGCATCAACTAGGATAATATATGTTAGAATGGATTTTGAGATTGTAAAACTAGCAAGGAAAGGGAGCAGAATATGCAATCATAGGGGAGAACTTATTGGCATGGGATCACACACCTATGATTCAGAGTTCACTGACTTGGAGCTGGCCTAATACACTGCTAGGGTGTCATCTTTAAGCCTTAACCATGATAGCCCACTCAAACTTTCTTGCCAGAGTACTGAGGAATTGGTGAGAAGGTGAAATGAAGTGGCAGTATTAGAAGTGACTTATTGAGTGAGACAAGAGGACCTATCTCTGAACTACTTTCCCTAAGAGGGCAGAGAAGATATTCCGATAAGGAATGTGTTGATGAGGAGGAATACTGACATTTTTTAGAAGCTTGATGTTGGCTCTCCTCTGCAAACCATGGTTGGAAGTAAACTATGCTGCAATGGAGATTATAAGATTCTAAAATGGATAGTAGGGCTCAGGTGACAGCATAAAACCTCAGGGGCATGGTAGGTATCATTACCATAATGGAAAGCAAGGTCAGAGTGGAGTCTGGCTAACTTGACTGACAGAAATGTCAGAAGCTGTGACAATGCCTTATAGATAGTAGTATTCCAGGGCTAGATGTACAGACAGCTGGCTGTACAACTTCTTTCATACAAAAATAAAAGATGTGACTTTAGGAGGCTGAGGCGGGCGATCACAAGGTCAGGAGATCGAGACCATCTCAATTGTCCTGCTACTCAAGCCATATGACTCAGCACAACTGATAATGCTTAAGGTATCTATGGTGGTTAAGGATGAAGTATCTAGCCATTATACAGGTGCTATAACACAGAATTCTGAGGTTCTGAAGAAAACCCATATCTCCTGTAACGACTTGCCATTTAAAAACATACCCTCATATGCTATTAAGGCATAATAGAAATAGAGTGCCTAATCAAGAGATAGCAAGTGACATGAGCGGCCCATCATAAGTTGTACATTTAGATTCACCAAGTGATAAGGTCTGACAGGGTAAACAGCAATCCACCCCATGATGGAAATGCCATATATGAGATCCAGCATGAGAAGG